ATACATTCATCAATAAATTCTCAATATTTTTAGTAATTCTGATTCTTTTAGTTAAGGATTTACATGTCATTGGATAAAAAACAGATTTTTTTATTGAATATTGGCAAATTGCAGTTACCAAATAATGCAAAATTTAAAATTTGTTTTCAAATATTCGAAGATTTAGAATATTTGAATTGTTTACAATCTAGAGAGTTTGACTCAAATTCTAAAAAAAAACTAAGATTTTCTTGTATTATTTTTAAATACAAATATGATTTCGAAACACAGCAATGCTTTAGAATCAATATTGTATATACACATGAGAATATTGAAATATTGAGTAACACTAACATTATTAATATAATTAAATTCGTGATTATACATTATAAATACAATTTACAATATACGATTGGATTAACTAATAAATCTAGATGAATGCCCTATACCAATGATCCTCCCGGCACACCTTTTGCCCTGCCCTACTTACTTGCAAACAGAGGGGGTCAAAGTGTTCAACCGATTACTTAAATTCCAAGGGCAATGCCAATGTTAGACTTGATAGTTCGGTCAAGTAGTTTTGTTTGCTGACAAAATAGCCACCAGCGTGGTGGCTAAAGAAATTGTGAACTTTTTTCGTTCTCCCACTAATTTCCTAATCTATAGAAATTTACTAGTATTCCGCTTTTAATTTGGACTAGCATGTTGTCCGACCCATTGTTCGGAATGTTATTTAATTATAATATATTTTTTATGTGCATTTAAAGTTTTTAGAGCCCGTTTTGGTTTTGTAGAGTCCATTTTGTAGAGCTCGTTTTGGAGCACGACTTTGATCGGACCTAGTCCAACTAGCCATCCGGTAGAGGTGTAACAATTTTGGTTATAACACTCGTGAATAATCATTCATAACTTGTCTATTTCATGATGTAGCCATTTAGTTGCCTATAGTGGAAAAGAAAATTGACATAACAAAAAAAGTTCGTCTGAAAAAGGGTAGCATAAATAGGAAACTCATGATCATAACCTTTAGTTCATATTTTTTTTCTTTTGCTTAAGAAACAATACATAAATAGCAATATCTAAACCTTAAAGTATTATGTACAATGCAATAACAAAATTAGTAAAAAAAATAACATTTTCGATACTCTATGCAATGAAAAAATTATTTACCAACCAACATACTCTAAATTTAGTCGAACGACAATCTTATTCACTCAATAAAAAAAATTAAACTTATCTTGTGGTACCTACCTAACTAATGCACATGACCACATCAATGCGTCCATAAAACTTGGTAGTCCGAAATTGGGTACTTTTCAACTCACTCATTTGTCCAATCATGCCATATTATCAAGAGATTTAGGATTTAACGGTTAACCAAACTAAAACTTTTAAAAAATTGGCTACTTACAGTTTGCATAACAATATCGTTGCTTTAAAAGTTTTAAAAATTAATATCACTTAAGAATTCTACATCACATCTACACATTAAATACTGCAATTCAATATGCAAAATTCGAACCAATGATATTTGGGTTACAATTTAAAATTATCCTCCTTTATAAGATAGACATAAATTAAATTTACTACTATACTCAAATTCAAATAATCAAATATCAAATAACAAAGAAAGTACTTACGGGAGAGTTAGTGGGCTAGCTAACAGTAGTGGAAAAGTCATATGATTTTTAGATTTTAGGTTTTCAGATTTTGTATTTAAGAAGATACCAAAAGTTTTTTTAGTGTAATTGGTAATGGTTGTCGTCTTTGTTTGAAAAGACCATGGATCAAATCCTGAGATTAATGTATTTTTATTCTTATGAATAATAAATAAATAATGATTGAAAAGACATAATTAACCTTCCTATTTTTGTTCTCGTCGCAGAAAATTTAAAATACTAAAAAACTACCACCAACTTTGCTATAATATATTTGTAAAAGATGTAGTTGGAATTTATAAATTCAAATTCGAGACTCCATCGTATTCGTATGCAATTAGTTTTTCAACCATTTTAGCTGCGCTCTTTATGGCAATTTTAATTAAAAATTCATATGATATAATAATAATTTTCCAATTTACAACCACACGAATTCGAATAACAGAGACTTTTTAGTTTTTTTAGTAACCCA